TTTCTAAGAAATTAAAACAGCATGGATAAACTATGGACCAGTGAGTGAGGTTGGTTCCTAGCCTGCGACATTTTCCAATTCTTTTCTCAATCGGCATGATGAACTACACCTTCAGGGTCTCCCAAGCTTGCGTTTGATCATAAATGGTTCCTATTCTCGTGAAAAATGATTCAACAAAGAATTTCAAAGCATGTCACAAAGGTCAGCATTAGTTTAGTAAGTGTTTGTAAAATGTCAAATTTCATTTGTATAAATCGTGTGTATTTTGTGATGTGCTAAAATCAGACACATTCAGTCAGTTTGTAAAACTACCGTTCATCCTGCCGCAAGCAGTACTACTTTTTGTAATTTAGATCTTGCTGATTTGCGTATTTCTAATGATCAGTTGGCCTTATGCACGGTTTCAAAAGGTAATGTCCATGTTTAGAAGCAATCACATACATCTCTTGGTTCAGTTCATGCATTTATTATTGAAACAGGCAGTAATGAGTCCATTATTTCATTCAGGAATCTGAAATCTTTAGATTCTAATGTTTTAGTACGACCCACAAATGTATAATCATTGCGGATTACTAGACACAAACTACCCATACGAGAATGCCTCATGAGGTTTTAGTTAGTGAAGCACGACAGTCAATACAGGGTTTTCAGAATTTGGAAGGCTTAAACTGGAGTTGTCTTCATTAGTTTGTAAAGAATACTCTGATGTTTTAGTTAAAGATAACTGTGTGCTGTAAGTGCAATGGATGTTTGAGAATTCGAATTATAAAACTTCAAGTACGAGGTGATCCAGTGTTTCCTAAAAGACGAATGATTTCTTATAGTCTTTGGGAAGCAGTACATAAAACATTGAACGATTTGTGTGCAAAATGCATAATTGAACCGATCTAGTCTTTAGCATGGTGTACTTCTATTGTTATACCCTTGAAGTCTGATGGGAAGACGCCGAGAATAAGTGGTAATAATAGATAAACACACGTTTGTTGAAGCAACGTATACGACGGTGAAAGCTGAAGATATTCCTAATCAATCACATGGTTGTAAGTTATTCTCGAAAGTTGACTTAAATGATGCTTATCTTCAAATCACAAATATGTGGCAAAGGCAACTGGAAAATATATACATGTTAAGTACAAAAAATCATCCAGTAAAATAGTTAAACTCGCCTGGATTATTTTTAAAAATTAAATTATTCAGTAGACGAGACATATAACTCCATTCTTGAGGAGTAGTTTTGGTCCAAAAGCATGCAGTCTTGCAATTAATTCCAGGGTGATTGGTGCTGTTGACGTTTTTGTCACTCGCTATTTAGTCCTTGATTGCATTGCTAGTCAATGTATATTTACGTTATTTATAGGTCATGTTTGCTATAGCTTGGTGTTTAAACAAGCTCATTTCGCTGAAACATGTAAGTTCTATTAAAGCTTGTTAACGAACCATCAAAGCTAATTAGTTAATATAGATGACCGATTCTTATTATCGATTGAGCTAGTAGGTTGGGAGAACTAATTAATAGAACATTACGACAATACATGTGAGTATTAATCAGACAACTACCACAATAATGGTTTACATAAATAAAAATCGATCGAGAAAGTTAAAGTGGAAAAAAGGATTAATAGTAACAAGTTGCGTTTCTTTAGTCGGGATTACCAATGTATAACTATGCTCTACTATGATACTAGTACTGCTCTAATAATAGACCTAATCCTAAAATTGTAGATTTGTCATGATATAACTGCCTAAACTATAAGCTCTTGTGTGGAGGTCACAATCGCCAATACATGATGAAGAACAAGCTTAGGCTAAAGATAGAACAATATATTTAATATGAATAAAAGATATGCGGTAACATTCAACAGGGACAACGCCTGCAAGGCCGAGCCATGCCATCCGATCAATTCTAATTAATTAAATTCATTCTTCCCACCCTCTTCATCGTTGGGTTTTTCTCGGTGTTAGATGTTGAATATCTATTTCTCATATTGTCTAGTGTTAGGGCCCAATGCCACTATAAAGTCTATCAAGATTATCTTATCATTTATGGTTCTGACATAGTAGTTCATAACCAGAGACTTATTGTTTTATTGCGTTGTATAATTGAGAAGAATGTTGCAGTGAATCCAGAGAAGTGTTATTTATGTGTATCTAGTTTTGAATGTATTGGATACCTAGTTGATAATGAAGGTCTTATACCAGATACCAATCGACCAGCTCCACTGACAAATGTGCCATCCCCGATAAATCTTACAGAACTGCGTTCATTAGTGAGTTCCCTTCAGTAGTATTCTCGGTTTAACTCCACATTTTTCTTGTCGTGCCAATTTTTAGTTAACATTTTGATATCCAATTCATTTAAATTGGGTGAGGAACATGAGTCATGCTTACGAAGTCTACCAAAGTTTCTTCGAAGTTAAGCTGTTCTTCAACTTTTCTCTTTCTAGTGCACATTTTGTGCTTATTACTGATGCATCACCTGTGGGTACTGGTGAGGTTTTGAGCAGGGAGATATACCAGTAATCCATGTTTCACACAAACTTACTGCTACTGAACAAGGTTATTCACAATCTCAGAGAGAAGTGTTAGCTGTGTTTTTGGCCGTCGAAAGACTTCACAAATATTTATTCGGAAAGGAATTCACTATTGTTACTGATCGTGAGGCTTTAAAGTTCATTCATCGTCCTGAAAAACCCTTAGGACGTTCCTCAGCTGCTATGATACGACTGTATAGTATTGCTCAGAGTGCCTATGACTATACTGTTCAGCACAGGAACGTCAAACAAGTTCAACATGTTGACTGCATATCTCCACAGTCATTACAAGATAGGCCTGTTAGTACTCCAGACTATTTGTTAGTGTAACCTTTAGCGGTGAGACGTCCAGATGTGATTGGAGAAACTCGTCAATCCTTTGGATGAATACTCAGTGCTATACGGAAATGTTGGAATGATGAAGTGAGCAATAGATTTTCTGACTACTTTTCTAATTGGGATCAGCTATTCACTGCTCGTGATGGTATTTTGTGTTTGAATGGTCGTGTTATTATTCGTCTTTCGTTGCGTAAACCTGTCCTTGGAGATCTCCATAGTGGATATTTAGGTTCTGAGAAAATGAAATGCTTGGTATGGCTCGAATGTTGGCGGTGGAAGATAAATGCAGATATATATATTACAGAACACAATTGTGGAAAATTTAAGCCGGAAAGTCAGCCCTTGAAGTTTCCTGAAGTATTTCCAAAACTTTACCCGATTCTGACTTTACAATCGAAGTATTAAGAAACGTTTTTAGTCCAGAATTGCTTCCCATGTTGTTGGTGACTGATAATGGCTGATTGATTTTGAATTCTAAATACAATGCGTTCATTTGTGCTTGCCCAGTTCCATTTGACTTAAATTACACTATTTCGAGAAATCCCGGTTAATACAATAATTCGAATACTTCTAGTTGTTATAAAAAGTTAATGCCAAATGATAAACATAGTTCTATTCGAAAGTGATAAGTCAATGCAACCAGTCCAAAGGTAAATATCAAAACAACCAATCAGGGTAGCAATCACTGACAGAAGAGGCCAGATATGATGAGTTGCTTTCATCTCGGAGATACTATAAAAACAAAGGGACGAAGTTGCAATAAATATGCACTATGACCTTAAAGATGCCACAGAGATTCAGCATTTGATAACGCTTTTGTCAGTAACACTTTTCGAATTGAGGGATACCAACCCCATCAAATCTAAAGTCTTGGTTGAATGAGCTGGAATATACATTTGGAAGGTTGCTGATATTTCGATAATATTTTTATATAAGCTGGCTTGTAGTTGTAAGGGATGCGTAGCTTGGAGTACCCACTCCCGACCTGGTATAGATGAGCGACCAGGAGGTTCCAGCTAGACTGTGTTCAGTAAAACTAATAAGGTCAGGGTCAATGTCGAAGAATCGCAGAACTGCTTATTTTGATGATTTATTTACCGCTACAACCTCGTCTCGAGTCCGAAAGCAGGCAGTGTATAAAAATTTGTGGATGGGTGGGATGTGGGCTCTTTATTTTGTCGTCGTTTAGATCTGACGATGTTGTTGAAAGGGCTATCCACTTTAGTGGCTCGAGATCTGACTCCAAATAGATAGTATGAATGACCGTTGTCGAAATGTATATGTCGCCTATCCCTGTATATAATCATCGACTTGAATCGCGTTAGTCAATAACGGAATTAAATAAGTCAAATAGCGAGAATGGACTTTTGAATACATATATTTCGTATATGAAGCGATTGAAATAGAGAGAAGCGAAACGACGCACAGTGGAGATGGTGGGTAAGCCACCTCCCATTTCACCAAGCATTAATCAGTATTTATAGTCACACAAAAATAAGCTACAGACGTGTGATGAGTAATGGGATAAGGAGTGTACACACACATATGCGCTCATATAAAAACAGTTAAGATCGATAAGCGAATAATTAATAAGGACAAAATGTGACTCAAGTAGAATGAATAGATTGGGCTTTCCGAAAGCTAGAATAAGGTAATATGGGCTTGACATAATAACGAAATCTATAGGGTTATCATGTTTCTAGGGCAAAAAAGTGAGTGAAACACGGAGTAAATAAAGTAAGGATTTTCTCACCTGCACACATAAACACACATGAATACAGACACTGATAATCAGTTTGTAGTAAATTTTGTATTTTCTATATTCCTAGAGACTTGAGAAGCTGAGAGTCCTGAAGTTGTCTATGCGCTGGTCAACATATTATAGATTCGTGCATACGTAGGACTAATTTTGCTGAAACTTATTACAGTTCTTCAGGGATGCCTGAATAAATAAAACTGGAGTTTTATTTATTCTGTGCATTTTATCTGGTCTAAAGATCCTAGGAAAAATTTTCTTGCGTTTATTCATGTGATACAACGGCGAGTGTTGTGATATAAAAATAAGGGATATTATGAAACTATTCGAAATACACGCAATAATTTGTGGTGTTTGTTTGTATTTGCTACTTCATAAGTAAAGGGCGCTAGGTTTGACACGGTCTTCGCAGTTGGTTCGTCTATGGGGGAGTTTTGCTCTAAACCGGAGAGTGGGAATTCTCAATCACATCCCGGTGTTTCTGCTGTTGGTACTCAACATGCTAGGTCAAGAGAAAACAATGTCCCTAATGCTTCTACAGCAACAGCTAGCTTTCTGTCTAACATGTGTGACACAATATCCCGCTTACAAACCGAAAGTCATTTACCCTCAAACGCCCCACCACCAGGTTCGCGGATAGCTCCAAGCCCTGAACAGGGTTATGCCAATAGTATTAATCGAAATGGAAGGTCTGATAGTTTTCCAAGTGGAGGTCCGGTGCTCACAAGTAAGTTCTTTGTTTATCTTCATTTGCCTGACGAAGAAATATGTAAATCTCTGAATGCCAAATAGTTAAGTTCCAGTCAGTAAAGATTTAAAATGCTTTTGTTAGGTGTTAGTGCTTGTTCTGTATGCGTGATGTCAAGGGAGTGTAATCTATAGACTTGGAAGAGTAACTAGAGAAATGTAGAACTACTCAACAAACAGTATGCAGACTAGTAACATTGTGCCATACAACTTGTGTCCCGTCATTGCATGATCTTGATTCACATCATCAGTAACAGTACAGGTTTATGCAGTTTGTTTAAATCATTTATCTTAGGACGACGTATTAAGTGGTTTGATTAATTCGGAGATTGGCTTTATAAGTTTCAACACTAGTTGGATGGTAGCTTGCTTTTCATTTGGCTCTAAAACGTACCTCGTCTCTGAGTAACTAAAGATGCTTAGCGTTGGTAAAACTGACGTCACGGCGAAATATCCGTCATATACTTCTGGGTTCCATCCTAACTCCTCTAGGTGTCTTGTTACATGTTGAGCAAATCTTTTGTGTACAGATGGTGATTTAGTCATTTACACTTGTTATCACAACACCTTGTTCTTAGATTTGTGAGACGTAGTCTGAAGGGTTCAAGCGGTATGGGACTTTTTTTGATGGAGTTTTGTTCTCTGAGCTGGATGGTTTGGTCGTGGAGCTTTCATCGTTCTTCTGAACGACATCATCAGCACAAACTTCAGATAGAAGTGAAGCGTTCGAATTTATCCATATGCATTTCACAGCTTGTTCTGTGCACCTCGATGTTGATTGGTTCTTATTGATCTTAAATTTGTCATTGTTTACTTTTTTGTCTTGGTTTTGTCTCCTATTGGTTTGATTCTTGTTCCTATATTTGTGCATAAGTTTCCTGATTGGGACTTTTGGCTATTCTTTCTGACATTATTCAGGAATGATGTACATCTGGCGGTGGTGCAGTGGGTAGTAATGAGACGCTAAAATACGTAATATTGTGACTATTTACAGATTGTTGCTGATCCTTGACGGTAGCGTTTATTTCAAGATAGTTAGATGGCAGCATTTCCGTTCCATCAGTTTTAAGCCGTATTATCTGGTTTACTTTACTATGTGGGAAAAATGAGTCAATATAAAACAAAATTAATGTTTTGAAGGAATAATAGAAACAAAAGCTCAGTATCAAAAACATGATTTGTATATAAACACAAAGTAGATTTCGCTCACTGCATGGCTTGTAAGCCAAGCATGATAAGACATCTTTGGGTAAATGATTCACACGGCTACTCACTTCTAGGTCACTCCCATGTAGTGAGTAAGCTTTCAGGGAGGTATGAATGATCAACTATGCATAGCCTCACTGCTAGTTTCGTAAATAATGACCAAATGCGTTCAGATATTTCCTACACATAATGCGTATGCATCAAGTATTTTCGATGTGTTAATCAACTCACTTTCCTCTTAAACATTGTGGAACACAATCCTGACCAACTATCTCAAACTGACCTGATAATAAGTAGCGACATTGTGAACTTTAGTGGTGCGCCTATACTCTCTTTAAACAAAGTCCTTTGTTGTAGACATTTCGCAAAATCTGTGCGACATGACAGTCAATGTTTGGGATGTGGGAATATATGCAAGCAATAATTACATGCGTTATGCATGCTTTTTTTGAAGATTTACTTAAACACAAACATTAGTACAAGGCGGCACCAAATATATATATATATATATACACCACCCTTCGTCATTCAATTTGTGATGGCTAGAATACTGCTCGGTAGTCCAAACCGAAACAAGTGGTTTTCTTAGGTCGCTCTTCAAGCTTTTGATGTAGAGGTCTAACCCACAAGGCAGTGGAGCAACGTTCAAAGATACAGTCCTTCGGTAGCCAATGATCAACAATAGGTTCATACGTCATTTGTCCCCTCAGTGTTAACCCCCTAGGCGGATCCTCCATATCCATCAACGCGGTTAGAGCGCCGGACATTCGCTTTTCGTCCTCTCAATTTCGTAAACAACATCCGGCTTTGGTCCGGGCACCCGGACAGTATCACAGACCTCACACAAATCAATGATAGCTGCTACTGGCCTCATTGTTATTGTGTGGTGCATATGTATTTGGTGCCCCCTTGTACCAATGTCTGTGTTCAAATAAAATAAATGACCCCCTCCGCGAGAAGGTAGCGTGTAGGACTTGCCTGGAGATGGCTGTATAATGGTAATGTAGGAGCATTTCGGAAGGAAGAGCGGACTCTCCTCAATCTTAGCTGTACCAGGGCATTTTGAGTTTTCCTAAAGATAGGTTTGTAAAACCAGTTTATTTCAGATTGGTGAAGTATCCTAAGTTCTGTATGTCTCTTTAAACAACCCGACCAGTGTCCTGAAAATTTTGCTATAAACCTCCAAAGGGAGCTCTGAATAGTTCTTTGCGTATCATCAATTTCATAGATTGTTTCACCTATACATGGCTTTGGTTCGGGTGAAGTAAAAAAGCTACTGATATTTACTAGGCGAGAACGTTACGCCTATGTCGACGTCGTGTTCTAACCACTGGCTGTTAAAGTTCCTAAGTTCTCACTGAAAGTCTTATAAAAAGGGCTTATGAATTGTTATACTGGTAGTTTGTCAGGATAGAGTATCACATGTTAAATGTAAACATAGTTCAGAAATCTAGTAGCTAAAAATTGCTGGTTTTGCTGAATGTTTCATCTTACCCAGGTCACCAACTGCTTATCAAAAATTTCGCCAACTGTGTTGCTCATCATCGATTCCTTACCTAAATCTTACTCAAAAATTTCAATTTGTCCTCAAGGGCTTCTGGATATGTGCTTAATGTAAATGAGGTGTTTCAACGTTTAGTTCCATGTCTGTAATTCATTTAACTAGTACAAGTACAGTATCATCCATTTTCTGACACCCCAATGTACAGTAATAGCTGAAATAAGTGGAAATTTTGCCACTTAGTTATGTAGTCAGAGGTGAACGTTTTGGATGCGATCTTCACCATGATGGAAATCAGTTGTTAGAAACCCCATAACCTTAAAGCAATTCGAAATAACACATTTAATCACTCTTGACCTTTAAATCCTTGACGTGCTGTTTCCTATCCATTTCTTTCTCGCTTATTTCGCCAGTTTTATTTTAATCTCTTACAATTGAAGAGTGCAGTAAATTTAACCATTAGGCTTGTGAAATTGTTTCGATCTATATGTCTAGTGATTGTGTGGTTTTTTGGTCAGTATCTAAAGTTATCAATCGAATCTTGTCTATATCTTTTAACTTTGTATTACATCAGCTGGGCCTCATGCAGGGTTGTTAACTCCGGAAGATATGCTTGCTGCAGCACAGATTTGTAGCCATCTAAGTCAGTCACAACTCAACGCTCTGGCGGCTGCTTACCATCAACAGCAGCAGCAAATTCAACGCTCCGTTGGTTCAAATGCTTCAGGAACTCCAACTCTTGGTCACGTCCCAGGAATTACATTTGCGCAGGCTCTAGCGGCCGTTACATCTATATCGAAGTCATCATCTCCTACTATTCCTCTCAGTGTTCACAGCTCTCAACAGTCACCTCGATTGCCGGTACATTCAGTTCAAACACCTGTACATCAAGGGAACCAAAAACGCCCCCCTAGTGGTCAGTCACAGTTTCACTCAGGACATCCTATTCAAATGGGTTCAACTACATCTGGTAGTAAGTGTTGCCAATAATAGCTATTATGTTTTTCATCTGTTATGATAATGTTACTCTTTTTTTTTCTGGAGCTATTCTTAACTTACGCATATTTATTATGACTAAGTACTTTACTGACTTCAGTGTGGTTCATGTGGATCTTGTTACTGATGTCTTTATACCAACAATGTGAACCGTGCAAGCTACGTTTTAGGAGCTGGTGTTCATTGAAAAAATCTATCATGACTATCATAATTTCATCATTACATCACTTTCGATGCTACTGACAACGTTACAAGTTGCTAGTATAGTCTGTGATAAATTTGTGTATAAACTACCGGGTAAGGTAATCAGGATTCATTTTCAGTGTATTAAGCACTCAGTCATACCAAGACACACTTGTTTACACAGAGATGCCTAAATCATTCTGAACATATATTCTACCTCGCTAGGGTTACATGTAAGTTTAAGAGTTAAAAAAAATTAGACAAAAGATCATGGTTTGTGAGTGGAGCTGGTTCGAAATACTTTGCCGGTTTTCGGATTCGGTGGCTACGGGCACTTTACAGCTTTCGTAGTTACTGAGTCGCAGTGCATCATTTTTACTTAGTCTTCGTCTATTTAAATCCTATATAACTATTTATCCAGAATTTCAAATCGATATGCTTAATTATGAATTCCCACACTGAAAGATCTATTTATTGTCCCTAGTTTCTGATTCCATGTGTAATTAGTTCTATGTTCTGGCACGATTTAAAGTTTCATCGTGGTGTGTTATGTGTTCCTAGTTCTACATCGTAGATCACTGACTGACTAACTGACTGTTATGTAGTTAGTTTTGTTTGTAGGCATTTTCGGTTAAATTCACCTGACTACATAAGGCTTAATTTTTATTTTAGCTCGTCCAGCTTCGGCGTCTCAGGCTGTTCTTCATCACCGCGGAAGTCATCCAGGTCCTTCAGGATTCGGGACAATGAGTTCTCATGTCAGTCCATCACAGTCGATTACCTCACATCTGGATCATAATTTGCACAATGCACATCATCAGACAAGGGCTTCACCATCACTATCACCCAGTCCTGGAAGCAATATTTACCAAGTTAGTGTTTTTTTCGTAGGTATCACTAAGGCAATAATTAAAATATTCTTTACTGATCCCTTATTGACTGTAAGGTGTAACAATTAAAAATAGAATGTATATATTTTTGTAAAATATTCTTCAAAATTCTCTTCTAGTCAGTAAGTAAAACTAACCTAGATTGTAGAATTAGCGAAACATTTATGTCGCCAGATATAATGATTTCGACGCTAAAATTGTTTCTTCACAGTAGTCCAGATACTAATAAATTTGTCTATAATCTTATCAGGAATTATCTGATATGTTCTGACTTATAGCCTTTATCATATGTTTGTCAAGTGTTGTTTGCTCGATATCCAAAATTGTAACGAGATTTGCTTTAACAACAGAAATAATTATTTATTATTTATTTATTTGAACACAAATATTGGTACAGGGGGGCACCAAATATATATGCGCCACACAAAACAATGATAATTTGAAGAGAAGGAGAAAAAATATAAAAAAAGTAATGAACATGGGGAATTATAAAAAAAAGAGGGAGAGAACAATGGTGGGGAAAACAAAAAGGTACAATCAGGAGAAATCTTACAGTTAAGGAAGATACAATGACTTTTTATGAAGAAAGTAAAAGAAGGTTACAGCAGGATCGCCACTGGCTTCTATTCTGAGCCATATCTGATAACGTCTCTAGCCACTGCGTTACACCGTCTCTCGGACCCCATCCAGGGAGTCGTGAAGGACCAACAGAAGCTAGCCCTTTGCAGCTTTCTTTCATACCACGACACCATGTCATATACTGGCCACCTCTCCGCTTTTTCCAACCAGTCCCAGAGTCGGCAAATAATGCACGACGAGGAATTCTCTGGGACGACATTCGTAGAACATGTCCAAGCCACCGAAGTCGGTGTTTCAAGATGGTGACACCAATTTCATTATCGTCTCTGTGACCGAACACACGATGCCGGACCTCTGCATTACTGACATGGTGTTGCCACTGGATGCCAGCAATCCTTCGGAGACAACGATGATCGAACACAGAGAGTCGTCTAACATCCTCAACTCGGAGAGGCCAGGTTTCACAAGCATAGAGCAGAACTGCACTCACCGTCGCGTTGTAGATCCGAACTTTTGCAGCCAGACTAACATCACGAAGGCGCCAAAGATGGCCCAGATTGGCATAAGCCGCTCTGGTTTTCACCATACGTGCATTGATCTCATCACTCAAGCCACCACCAGCACTTATGCAGCTACCTAGATACACGAACTTCTCGACCACTTCTATTTGCTCACCATCTAGAGTGAGTACAGGATTAGAATCCTGCCAGTCTTGTAGGAGTACTTTGCACTTCGAAGGTGCGAAGCACATACCATACCTACGGACATTGATTGCCAACTGATCAAGTGCGGATTGCATGGCTCGGACATTATTGCACAGTAAGACAATATCATCCGTATACTCAAGGTCGAGAAGTCTTTCTCCAGGCAACAGATCCACACCACCATTACTTACATCTATCAGAGCTGTTTCCAGAATGTCATCGATGGCAAAGTTGAAGAGGAATGGTGAGATTGGGCAACCCTGCCTAACCCCACTGCTTGAATGGAATAGTGGAGAGAGGTGGTTGTATGCCCTCACTCTGCCTGAGGTGTTTGTATGTAGGGCTTTTAGGATGTTAATAAACTTCTCAGGCACACCCTTCTTCAATAGACAATCCCAGAGAACAGTTCTGTCCAACGAATCGAAGGCAGCCCTGATATCAAGAAACACTACGATTGTTGGCCTTTGATAAGTATGGCGATGTTCTAACACTTGGCGGAGGGTGAAGATATGATCAATACATCCTCGACCAGAACGAAACCCAGCCTGCTCCTCGCGAGTCAATCCTTCTCGGGTTCTGAACAACCTACGAAGTATGACGGAAGCCAATAGCTTGGACGCAATCGGAAGTAGACTTATCCCCCGATAGTTGTTACAGGAACGACGTGAACCCTTTTTAAAGATAGGGACAACTATCGACTCATTCCATGACGTTGGTACACACTCTAGTTCCCAGACCTTTGCAAACAACGTCGTCAGTCCCTTAGTCAGAAAGTCACCACCATCTTTAAAAAGAGCCGGAGGTAAGTCGTCTGGGCCCGGTGATTTGTAACGTTTCAAGAGTTGGAGTTCCTTGCGGACTTCCGCCTCATTTGGTGGATCAGTCGTCACCGGCCATGGAGGGCAGGATAGTCTGACCGAAGTTGCCGGAGCAGCAGGCCAGTTGAACTGCCCTTCAAAGAATTCTGCCCATCGTCCAAGACGTCGATGGATGTTAGTGATTGGCGTTCCGTCATCCTCGCAGATTGTTTCGCTCACACCAGACTTCTTGCTGCCAGTGGCTCGGATGAGTTGGAAGAGCTTCCGGTAATTACCAGATGCAGCTGCTGCTTCCAACTCACTGGCACGCTCCGACCACCAGGCTTCTCGGTCCTTACGCAAGCTTTGCCCGATTTCATTACGTAACATCCTTCGTCTGTGGTCAAACTCACGGTCACCCGGAGTAGACCGACGGGCTTCAATCAGTTGTAAGGAACCAGAAGAAACCCAGTGCTTGTAAGAGGGACGTTTCGCAAACCCACAACAGACTGTACCCGCCATTTTCATGGCGTCATGCAATTGCAAGCAATAAGGTAAGGTTGGCGCAGACCAGGTCATGATCAGAGTCCAGATAGGTACTCCAAAAGGAGCGGCAGTCTTGTACACAACCACGCCAGCGGTAGCTGATCGCGATGTGATCAATCTGTATCCAGGCTTGAGATGCAGAAGGGGGACGCCAGGTGGCACATCGGCGATGACTGTGCCGAAAGTTAGTGCTAGCCAGAAACAGGTTGTGGTCTGTGCATAGTTGCAGTAGACGTTCCCTGTTATCTGTCCTGTGACCAACGAGTCCCCATCGGCCACCTAAACGACTCTCTTCTGTGCCTAGACGCCCGACCTGAGCATTCAAGTCTCCAGCTAGTACTACAATATCTGTCGAACGCACTTTCTGGAGAAGAACAGTTAGCTGATGGTAGAACTCGTCCTTGATTGCATCCGGGCTGCAATCTGTCGCGGCATAGGCAGAGATGACGAAAAGACATCGTTTCTCACGCCGATTTCTTCTCACTTTGATGGAACTTTCTAATCTAACAGCACATAACCGACTGTTAATGGGGATCCAGTCGACTAGTGCTGCCTCAGCTCTAGCGCTTAGTGCGACACCAACGCCAGCAAGACTAGACGAAGATGCCTCAGGGTCCCCGGATAAACGCACATAAAACAAGCTTTTTGAAGTGACAGATGGAGAGCGAACTTGTAGTACTTCACCAGAGTCTTGAATACGGGTCTCAGATAGACAACACACATCAATATTAATACTTTCCAAAGACATAGCCAGCTCTATCTGTTGTCCGACCTGCATAAGTGTGCGAATGTTGAAGGCAGCCAGTTTAAATGGTGCACGTGGTTTCAGAAAAACTGCTTCAGTACTCATATTCGGTGGTAACATACAATTTTCAACCAGGCAGTGACTCGAGAACGTTTAGATAAAGCTGAATTTTCACCACAGGCGAGCTGCTGTCTGAGTCGAAACGGATACATAAAGTAGGAGTAAGAGAGGGTGAATAAATGACGTGGTAAAATAATAATAATAATAATAATAATAATAATAATAATAATACCAGTCATTTTAATGTTAGTCGGAGAGAAACGAATATTTTCTATAAGCAGATAGTTCATCATAGTTTTAGTGTGTGGGCTGAGATACTGCCCGGGTGCCCAGACCGAAGCAGTGGTTTTCTTAGGGGGCCACACCCCGAGCATTTGACCTAAAGGTCTAGTCCACAAGGCAGTGGAGCATCGTGAGGAGATGCAGTCCCATGGAAGCCGGTGACCAAAAGCTGGTTCATACGCCATTTGTTCCCGCAGGATCCTGGAGCCTATGTGCACCATTGATTTGGGATCCGGTTATAGCGCCGGAAATTCGCTTTTCGTCCTCTCATTTTCGTAAACAACAGTAATGCCACGAGAAAGCAGTGAGTAGGACTTCCGTGGCAGAGGCTGTATACGCGTGGCCGTGTGAGAGTATTTCGAGAGGGAGGGCGGACCCTCCCCGCTCTCGGCCATACCAGGGCATTTGAGGGCACAACAGAAGTAAGTTAAAATTGGTATCAACTGTTTTTCTCTTTTTGCTACATTCAAAACCTATCATAATCAGTCATACTTATTGTTTTCATTATGTTCAGTCAATCATAAGCAGCTTTCGAATAAGCATAAATATGCATAGCCCTAACTTACTAAATTACATCAGTGCGCACACAGAAAAGAAAGTTTTGTAGCAGAGCAGTCATTATGGTAGTAGACTCGTTTATAACAAGAAGCGTCAAATCGAAAGAGTAAAATTGAGAGAGTGAAAGGTATGAAAACTCAGGGTTACGAGGAGAATAAAGAGTGTGTACATCCGAACTACTGCGACATTTTGAACTTTACCACCCCATATCCAATCATTTTTGATTACATCTTAGTTAAGTTGATACAAAACTTCAAATTTTGGCGTTAGTAACTTGTCGAAAAGATATATTCATTCCATTTCCAGTGCATCAGGTATTCAGCTACATTTTGTACTGTTATTTACATACAACAACCTCCATATCTTTCCAATTGCTGATTTATACATTAGGCCTGTGCAAATGCTATATGTGGTATATACAGCATTTTTCTCTGCTGCTTGAATAGCTGACATATAGTTCTATGTCTGATTGTCGTCTTTGTATTTAAAAGACTTCCAACTACTAATCGTTAGGCTACTCAATTTCCGTCCTTTTATGCGCTTCAAACATTTTTAGAATCGTCGTTCACAACTGGCCCCCCCTTCAACTCATCCAAACAAAAGACCTCGTATTTCCTTAGGATCCCAACTACCACACTCCATTTCATCCTTACCTTCTGCTCATGTAACAAATACAATTGCGCCGGCTGAGATGGAAGCTTTGTTGGGGAGTGTTGTTGCTAGTAAGGCGATGGCAAGTATTGCAGCTGGTTCTAACTTTCTTAACCCAAACGCTTATTCTGCAGCCACAGAAGTTGCCGCTGCAGCCGCAGCAGCCCTCACGCCTTTTTATACATCCATTAATACTAGTAGCTTATCGAACCCATCATCGGTCGCCACTCCAAATCAAGCTGCTTATCAACCGCATATTCAACATCACGGTTCATTCGGTAGTAATTCAACTTCTGGCACTCATTTATTCAACCAACAACATGTTTTACCATCTTCCAGTTCGGCGTATCCAGGTTCACTGATGGGTACCTTACCTGGTTCGCTTCTAACCTCGTACAATAATAGACCATTTCCTCATGCAACTGCGTCTACCCAGGCGATAACTTCCGGGCAAGCCCTAGTTAGTGCACCTGTCTTGGGATCACAAACTGTAACTAGTCAGCCTCCATTGTCACATATGCCAGCGAAAGCATCGCATCCAACTTCAGTCTCCCAAATCCCTTCTCGCCTGATTTCTGGCCATCTTCATCATCCACCTGCTGCTACACATCCTAGTCAAAGCAGTTTCCACCAGTCAAATCATCCTTTACCACAACCAGGTTCTCAACATCATGTGATGGGGCATTCTAATCTCCCTCAAGGAAGTGGCGTACTTCGACAACAGACTAAAGAGCCAGCTTATCACCCACAGGTACGTGTTTGTTCCTTGATATTTTAAAATTAGATTTGGCCAGTTGTTTTATACGACTGCTACTTCAATGAATTTTTATTTGATCCAAATTCCTAATATTGTTTCAAAGCTTTTTATGTCGTGAATATTGACATTTCTTAGGTTCCTGTGACGATTTTTTATTCCCATGTACTTGAGCTCTCGCGTAGCTAACCTTACGCATACACTGTAAACTGATAAAACCGACTGAGAATTTACCAAACTGTCGACAACCAGCTTTACAGTTTACAACCGAATTCCCAACTTACGCCTCATGTAGGAGCCATAAGCCGCCCACCAACATTCTTCGTCCAAAATAAGTTACAGACACATAATGGATAGGGTAACTAATCAGCACACATACGATCATATAAAAAACAGTCCAGACTTATAAGTGACAGAGTAAAATGTGGCTTAAGCAGAATGAATAGATTGATCTATCCAGAGGCTAGAATAACCTAAGTAGGCTTGGCATAGTACCAGCCCCTAAAAGTTCCTGAAGTTTCGGCTACGTACAATAGAACTGTCTTGACGTTCGTGTTGAAGATTCTGATTTTGATATTGGTTGGCAATTGTTCCGAATTCCATGTGTTCTTCACCTATAGGAATGCGGCGCTTGCTTCGTCAATCCTTTCATTTAAGTCTGGATCAGATTCTCCTTGATTATCGATCATGCCACCCAGGCACGTCAAACTTTCCACTTTTTTCCAAATCTTGTCCATAAAGTATGATCGGGTTGATTCTGACTGTATTGTACATCATGATCTTGCTTTTTCACTTGTGTATGTTGAGGCCTACTGTTGCACCGTCTTCTGCTACACTGGTTGTTTTGACCTTCATTTGCTGGTGTATAGAATAGAAGAGCTATGTCATCTGCAGAGTCCAAATTGTCTAGTTGCATCCAATCTGTCCATTGTATTCCGTAATTCAGACAACCACTAGAACAGAGAAATAGTGAGAGTGAGCACCCTTGTATGACTCCGGTCCTCATTTGAAATACTTCTATAAACTGTCCCCAGTGCACGACTTTGCAGTGTAGTCGGTCGTATGAATTGCGGATGATGTTGGTGATCTTTTCATCTACTCACAACACAGTGTTGAAGAAAATTCCTTAAGGTTCTATCCACTCTATCGAACGCTTTCTCATAGTCAAGCAAGTTGATGTATAGTGACAAATTCCATTGGATTGATTGCTCAAAAATGATCCGTTGTGTCGCGATTCGGTCTGTGCATTATTGATCATTACGGAATCCGGCCTGTTGATTTTGAAGGTTAGTATCTACGGAATCTTTTATCCGGTTCAGCAACACTGTTGAAAACTTTTCCTGGTACCGAAAGTAGTGTGATTCCCCTGTATTCCTCACACATACTCAGATCTCCTTTCTTTGATATCTTGACTAAGTATCCTTCTTCTCAGTCTGTCAGTGGCACTTGTTCTTCCTCCCAAAATTTCCTGAATAGGACGTGGAGCATGTTTGTGGTTACTTCTATGTGCGACTTCAATGCTTGAGCCGGTATGTTTTCAGGTGCTGCTGCTTCCCCACTGTTGGTTTGCTTGATGGCCATCCTGATTTCTTCGATCGTTGCTGGAGTGACATCTGTAGGAAGGTCTGTGTGTGTTGCTTCGATATTAGGTGGGTTCAGTGTGGCTGGTCTATTCAAGAGTTCTTTAAAGTGTTCTACCCAACTGTTCCTCTGTTCTTGAATCTCAGTGATTCTCTTGCCTTCTTTATCCCTGACTTTTCTCCTTGGTTTACTACATTTCCCTGATAGTTTCTTCGTTGTGTCATACAGTTATTTCATATTTCATCCTTTTGTAGTTTCTTCCGCGTATTTCTGCTTGTCGGCTCCAATGCTCCTCATCATTTGCTTGTTTGCCTCTGTGTATTCGGTCTGTGCATTTACTTTCACTGTTCTTGGTTGGCTGTTGTTAATTGCTATCTTCTTATTCTTCGTTTCTTGAATGCTGTTCGGGGTCTCGACAGAGATCCATTCCTTATGATGATGCTTCTTGCATCTCGGAACCTCCTGACACGTTCAAGTTGGTGCTTCTTTAGCGCGCTTCCAATTATTTTTCATAGTGGTTTCCTCTTCTTCGAGTAGATCGTGTAATGTTTGGGACCTGTTGTTGAGAGCTATGTTGCATTCTCTGAATTTGTCAGTATCTCGAAGGAAGACTATTAAACCCTCGTAATGCTGTTTCCTCAGTCATCCAGTGCTTCCTTACCCTTAGTTCTATCTTGGCCACAACCAGGTGGTGATCTGAAGATATGTCAGCTCCTCTATTGGTTCTCTCGTCTTTGATTGACCCTCTGAATTTTTTGGTGATATAAGTATGATCGATCTGGTTTTGTGTAGTGTGATACGGCAAAACCCATGTAGTTTTGTGTATGCGTTTTTGGGGGAATACTGTGCCAGCTATAACCATTTTATTGAATGCACATAAATTCGCAAATCTGTCATCACTTTCTTCCTTTCTCCCGGTCAATTTTTGGTCAGTTCCTTTCTTAGGCACTTCGACATGATCTATTGAAATCTCTCGTAAAATTGATCTTTATCGTCGTCGTTGCTATCATTGGTGTGTGCATAACACTGTATAACATATATTGTGGTTGCTATGTTTGAAGAGACTACGAGTTCATCTTAATGTACGAACGAAACGAATACGCAGCGACACAGTGACTAGATAAGTTAACTATTCTGATTCATCCCAGCCGTGTTAACTAGAGGGAGAGGTCTAGGTTTAGAAGCTAGAACGTGTGTTCTATAAGCGACCAGAAGCACGGGCAAAAACAACAAGCACAACTCCAACGTATATATACAGCATATTAAAAGAGGCTACGAACCAATGACATTTAAGGTCCTGTCAAGTGGGAAATACTATATGAAGGTAGCAATGGGCGGTTTTGGCGCGAAAACATCAAATTCAAATTTCCAAAGTAAAATTACACAAACGTCTAGCATTCCCAACCGTGATCCTTTCCTCCGTTTTGAAGAGTGGTTTGATGATTCTAAATCCATGAGATTACCATCAAATTAGTGCTTATCGTGATTCTTTTTACTGTATAAGTGCAAAGCATTTTCTGCATCATGATCATCTTTCTCGAATCTAGTCATTTCTGTCCACCTTGGGTCCAACAATTTTCACTAAATCTCTCAATTTTCGTAGCTATTCGACTGATCCTCCCGGTCTCCCACATTGTCCGAACATTCCATGTACCTATATTAATTGTTCCGGTTGTTAGAAGGGGCATCAGTCTCATGACTTCCGAAGAATATCGGCTTTCACCATGAGGCGTCGTAATTCTCCTGAATGAAGATCCTTCAACGCAGAGGGCAGAGTTTAAATGGTTTTAATTGTTTATTCTGGTTAGCGTTTTTCAGCAAGGTTGTTTCCGATGGGATATGTTTGCTGACCCCATACCCAACCTTCCTCCTTTACCCTGGCTTGAGACCGTTGGTGACCTTTGAACAGCTATAGGCAGTGTTGGAATTCTCCAGTTGTGATATAATTCAAGTAATATGACGTGGAGAAATCTTAAGACTGATGCATCTGCGTACGCATTTATTTTCTCTTGGATCTTCATTGCATTTTCCCTGTACCCCCCTGAGGTACTATAGAATTTATGAAGGTGTTATAATAGATGTTATTTGTTAAATCAATGCTAGATACGTCAATTCACATTGACTATTCATCTAAAGTGAAATTTGCTTCACTTAATTCTCATTTCCAGGTGATTATTTTACTATGGTTTAATTGATCATCACAGTTGTCGGTAACGTTAATAATTGAATTGGTGTTTATCACAATCCCTAGTAATATAAGTATTCGTTGTTGATCTAAAAACACATTTTCCAAGGTTATGAAATTTTGCTGCCAGCCATGAAACTATCAGTCAGCTTTTCCAGCGAAATCCAGTTTAGGTTATATTTATGGGTCATCCAGTCAGCTACAACGCAGGACCAGGCACTTATGTTCATCGGTCCAAGTTGCCACAACTCACTAGCACACCAAATTCATAGAATTAGTTACTTTAATGGTAGTAATATTTAAAAAAGATTGCATATGAGGATATGATACAGAGCGAAAGAAGTAGTTCGTATAAAGTAAGTTTAATCTCACGGTTTAAGGGAGGACAAAGAGCATGTACACCTACACCATTGTGATCGATTTTGAGCTATGTCACCCAGAGTCTTCAACCATTGTATCTACCAACATGTCTCGGACAAGAAGAAAGTGACTTCAGGAACTGATGCCACGTTTTTTGGTTTGACCGCCCCTAACTTTCTTCGTATGCTAATGTACTAAATGAATAATCTCAGCTTACCTCATAATAATATGGCTTTCCTACTGTATGTTTATTGTTCTAGTTTCTATTCTGTACCAACAAGCTCCTTATTAAGTCGCCTATAGGTAGTAATCAGTAAACAATTGGTTGTTCTTTTCATTTTTTCTGTAGATATTGCAAATCTGTTTATGAATATTTTTTAGGTTGAAGCCATATCCCCTGCTCCTGATGAATCTCGTCTAGTGGATGCCCAAGATGCAAAGCTTCATCGTGAAAGGGAAGAAATTAACCGTCAACTGACAGTATTAGATGCTGATATTAACAAACAAGAATCTCATCTAAGAAATCTATGTGAACGGGAGGCTCGTCTAACAGCTCGACTTGCGGTAGCACCTGCACGCGATACATCAAATAATAGTTTGAACGGTAACGATCATGAATGTAAATCAGATAAAGGGGATCTTGCTGTTCCGGAAGTATCTTTCACTTGTAAAACCGGTTTCGAACGAAATTACGAAAACCCAATACAGGTAATACTACTGTAACTTCACGTAAATTGTATTTCCAAGCATTTCATGCTAAAAACAAATGTAAGATCTATAAGCTGAAGTACGAAAGTTACTTATTATCAACCATTAGTAAGTAAACTTTGTGTTCCACTACTTATGGTAAATTGAAAACAAAATTTGAGGTCACTAGGTTCAGCTTTAAAAGTGATTGTACGCGTATGTTGCCATGCTAAGTTGCAGGATGGATCAGTTAGTGTTCGCTTTTTTAGTCTCATATGGCAGTAAAAATAACTGGTTTTTTATTTATAGATACAAACTGTTTTCGTTGCCTTAATTTCGTGCTATTTTGATTTCAGGCAATTATTTCTGACAACCGCCAACGCACTCGTCAGCGTCATCTCATTTTCACAAGACTTTGTGGACCCAAAGTTCGACCTGGACCACATGCCCTGCCATTTTATCGCCAACCGTCCGACTTGTCAAGTGTAAGAGCTATACAATCCAACTTTCGCAACCATTTCCGTCCAAAACTTGTTGTTTATCTTCAAAGACGTCTCCGTGCTGAACAAAGTCGTATCAATTTTTTGGCTCAACAATACGGACGAAATTCTAGAGTATGTTCATACATTCTATGAGCGTCGTATAATCGATTTTATAAGCGGGTATTCAGTAGTAAAGCGTTGTTGATAAAATAATATTACGGCTAAGTATCAACATAACCATAGTAGCATGGAGTTATCTCTGTGGATTAAATATGCCTACATTTTGTCACAAAGTTGAATTCTTTGTGTTTCTGTATCGTGTGTTGATCAGTCGGCATGGTGAATCCTTTGTACTGTGTTTCTGTTTAGACACATATATACTTATTGTTTCATAATAAATTGTGTCGTACGGAATAATCTTATTCTAACCTGACTAATTAATGTTGTAAGTAAGATTTTCCAAATTATTTAAAGTGATTGTTACATCACGCTTACTATACATCGTATACGTGTTGATCATTCCTGTTCGTACCTAGTAGATATGATTTTTGAGATAAATGTAGAATTAACGATGCACAATACCTAAACTTGCGATTTAATTATTCATGTAATGTACTTATTTATTTACAGATATTTACCAAAAAGATGGACAAATTACTCAGTACGACCAAACGTCGTCAACGTGATCTTCGTCATCGAGATATTTTTGAGAAAGCGATGCCGGAAGTTAAAAAAAATCGCGAAGACAGGGAGATGGGAAACACGGAATACACTAAACCAGGGGTCGAGGATGGTATGTCTATTTTTGTTAAATTAGTTTGTGCTTGTTTTATGTCATATCACACAAAATCTTATGATAGGGTTTCTTATTATCGACTTGGACTCATATATTTTTGACCTTGTTACGTGAATATTCTTATCGTTAACCCATTATCAGGTATCTATTGATATACCTTCGATTGTGAGAACTAGTGATTGTACTCGTTTGCCTAAACTAAAGTAGATGAAGTGGGATTTAAGCCTACGACTAAGTAGATGAAATTTGGGCACCTTAACCACTAAGTCACTAATACTCTTATGGCGTAGTTTGAAGGTGTGATCACAAATCTACCCTTGCTGGAATATAGATTTACTCATTTTCAAAATGAGGTATAGATAAACAAACAAAAGGTCAGATTGTGGCGAAAACTCAAGTATCTAACTGCATAGCGCCGCTTTTTCATCTTAGTAACACATGTTTAATCCGGGAAGTTAACTCTAATTTCTGATTCTGCTCCTTTTTTTTGAGGAACTGTTAGTGTGCTTACATTTAGGGTCGAATCGGTAATAACAGTACGTGCTTTATTCAGTAACCACCAGATCAGTATTAAAAATATCAAGATAATTCAGAATGGGCAGCTGACGCGTTTCGTATAACGTCTAATTCCTCTGTCCTCAATAAGAGGGATGGTCTGGTTATCCATCCAACTTGGTCCATGTTTCCAAACAACCACATTTAATTCTATTCATTTTTCAGACCATTAATGCACATAAATGCGTACAAATTTCAACTCTACTCCTCATCTAGCATACGCTCAAGTATACACGGTGATCTCACACAAAATCACCTAGACCAAGAAATATATGACATTGACGCGATCAGACATATTTAGATTTTGAGTTAACTGAATATTTTGCCTATTCCACCATACTGTTCAAACTTGTGTTCGTTTGGTTATTTATTCTATAGGAGTGTCTTACACGAGACGTCAAAAATTCTAATTTCTCTCAAAAAAATATTTTATTACTAAGACTCTACCGAATACTCAATTTATTTGAAATCATGAAGTTCGACCTTTGTAATGGTTCCTTCCTGTATAATTCTTCCTTCAAACAGGTTCTGTATTTATTCACTAAATAAAATTTTCTATGTCCTATTTGCTTTGTTTGCCAAAAAAACAGATTCTGGCGGGGTTTCTAACCTAACTGATGGTTCTCAGACTACTCCCTACGATGCTATAGAAGAGATGAATAAATTAAAGGTGATTTCTTTATAAACGGTTTCTCTTTTTTCCTATAAATAATCTTCAAACTAAAGTCTTTAGAGTAATTTGTTTTTATTTGTTAAGATCACTGAGATTACGTCGTTAAGGATATTCAGAAGTTAATTACTTACTTACTTACGCCTGTTACTCCCAATGGAGCATAGGCCGCCGACCAGCATTCTCCAACCCACTCTGTCCTGGGCCTTCTTTTCTAGTTCCATCCAATTCTTGTTCATTTTTCTCATATCTATCTCCATTTCTCGGCGTAATGTATTCTTTGGTCTTCCTCTCCCCCTTCGACCTTTAGGATTCCATGTGAGGGCTTGTTTTGTGACGCAGTTCGGTGCTTTCCTCAATGTGTATCCTATCCACTTCCAGCGCTTCTTCCTGATTTCTTCCTCCACTGGGATCTTATTTGTTCTCTCCCACAGTAGGTTGTTGCTTATAGTGTCCGGCCAGCGGATCTGAAGTATTTTGCGTAGACAACTGTTAATAAACACCTGTATCTTTTGGACGATGGATTTCGTAGTTTTCCAGGTTTCCGCCCCATACAGTAGAACTGTCTTGACATTTGTATTGAAAATTCTGACTTTGGTGTTGGTTGCCAATTGTTTTGAGTTCCAGATATTCTTCAGTTGTAAATATGCTGCTCTTGCTTTGCCAATCCGTGCCTTCACATCTGCATCAGATCCTCCGTGTTCATCGATGATGCTGCCCAAATATGTAAAGGTTTTTACATCTTCCAAAGCTTCTCCGTCAATTGTGATTGGATTGGTACATGCTGTGTTGTATCGAAGAATCTTGCTTTTCCCTTTGTGTATATTGAGACCTATTGCTGCTGAGGCTGCTGCTACACTGGTTGTCTTCTCCTGCATTTGTTGTTGCGTATGCGATAGAAGAGCCAGATCATCTGCGAAGTCTAGTTCATCCAATTGCATCCTAGCTATCCACTGTATCCTGTGCTTCCCTTCAGATGTTGATGTCTTCATGATCCAGTCGATCACCAGGAGAAAGAGAAAGGGTGAGAGTAAGCAACCTTGCCTGACACCGGTCTTTACTTCGAACGACTTTGTCAACTGTCCTCCATGCACGATTTTGCAGTTTAATCCATCATAGGAATTCTGTATGATATTGACTATCTTCTGAGGCAGGCCGTAGTGTCTAAGAAGCTTCCATAGGGTTGTTCTGTCCACACTGTCAAATTCTTTTTCGTAGTCAATGAATTTGATGTAGAGTGATGAATTCCATTCAATTGATTGTTCCACAATGATCCGTAGAGTTGCGATTTGGTCTGTGCACGATCTATCCTTACGGAATCCTGCCTGTTGGTCTCGAAGTTGGGCGTCTACGGAGTCCTTCATCCTGTTTAACAATACCCTGTTGAAGACTTTTCCTGGTATTGAGAGAAGAGTGGTTCCCCTGTAGTTGTCACAGTTACTGAGACCACCTTTCTTTGGTATTTTGACTAGAAGTTCTTCTTTCCAGTCTGTTGGTACCTGTTCCTCATCCCAAATCTTGCTGAAGAGAATGTGGAGTATCCTTGCAGTTGCCGCTACGTCTGCTTTCAGTGCCTCTGCTGGAATGCTGTCTAGTCCTGCTGCTTTGCCACTCTTGATTTGTCTGATAGCCATGCTGATTTCTTCGATTGTCGGTGCGCCAACCTCAATTGGGAGGTCCGTGAGTGCTGCTTCAATGTTGGGTGGGTTCAGTGGGGCTGGTCGATTCAAGAGTTCTTTGAAGTGTTCTACCCACCTGTTTCGTTGTTCTTCAATGTTGGTGATTACCTTGCCTCCCTTGCTTTTCACTGGTCGTTCTGGTTTACGGTGGTTTCCAGAGAGTTTCTTTGTTGTGTCATACAGTTGTCTCATTTTTCCTTCTCTTGCAGCCATTTCCACCGTCATCGCTAAATCTTTCGCATATTGTTGCTTGTCAGTTCTGATGCTCCTCTTCACTTGCTTGTTTACTTCTGTGTATTCAGCTTGTGCCTTGGCTTCTTCTGCCTTGTTCGGCTGGTATTGATTGTTGACTTCTTGTTCATCCTTTCTTGAATCTTATCCAGTTTATCAACAGTGATTCATTCTTTGTGTTGGTGCTTCTTGTGGCCCAGAACCTCATGATATGTTGAAGTGATTGCCTCTTTTATCTCTTTCCAGTTGCTCTCCATAGTAGTTCCTTCTCCATTGAGTAGATCACGAAAGGCCTGTAACTAATTGCTGAGGGTTATCTTGAATTTGTTGAGTTTTTCATTATCCCGAAGAAGAGCCGTATTAATCTATTGTGATATTTGCCGCCCCGTTATCCAGAGATTTTTGAGTTTCAATTTCATCTTGGCGACCAGCAAGTGATGATCTGATGCTATATCAGCTCCTCTCTTTGTTCTCACGTCCTCCATCGTCCTCCTGAACTTTTTGTTGATGCAGATATAGTCGATTTGGTTCTGTGTGCTGTGATCCGGTGAAGTCCATGTGGTTTTGTGTATGCGTTTATGTGGGAATATAGTCCCACCTATGACCAGTTTATTGAAGGCACATAGATTTGCAAATCTTTCACCATTTTTGTTCCTTTCTCCCAGTCCGTGTCGTCCCATGATCTCTTCATATCCGGTGTTGTCAATTCCAACCTTGGCATTTAGGTCTCCCATCAAAATAGTCAGGTCTTTTTTTGGGCACTTCTCGACGATTGACTGCAGCCTATCGTAGAATTGATCTTTAGCGTCTTCATTGTAGTCATTGGTAGGCGCGTAGCATTGGATGACGTTCATTGTAATCCCCGTTTTCTTGGTTTTGAAGGAGGCTTTGATGATCCTTGGTAGGTGAGATTCCCATCCTATAAGTGCATTTTGTGCTTGTTTGGACAACATCAATGCAACTCCTTGTGTATGTGGAGCATTTTCTTGTTCATGTCTGGAGTATAACAGCAGCTCCCCTGAAGCTAGTCGTTGTTGTCCAACTTGCGTCCAATGTGTTTCACCGATCCCAAGCACCTCTAAATTGTATCTCCTCATTTCTGCAGCAATTTGGAAAACTCTCCCAGTCTCCCACATTGTGCGAGCATTCCATGTACCTAAATAAATGGTTGATCTGGTTGTCAGAAGGGGCATCGGCCTCGTGACTTCCGAAGAAACTCGGCTTTCATCATGAGGAGTCATAATTCTTCTAAACGAAGATCTCCTGACTCCCAGGGCAGAGTTTAAATGGTTTGAATAATTTTTTCTGGTTAGCGTTTTTTTAGTGAGTTAGTTTTATACGGGATGTGGTCTCTAACCCCATGCCCAACCCTCCTTCTTTATGCGGGCTTGGGACCGGCAGTAGCCCCCGGAAAGGGACTCCAGATGGAGTTAATACTATAGTTAATACAATAGTTTATTTCATAACCAAAATCTTATTCCTTAACTATTTTATAGATCAATCTGTCAAAACTACTAAGTGTGAAATTTCTACTCTACTGGTCACTTTGTACATAGACTGTTATGTTGATGCTACTTTTGTCTTAGCACGATGCATATACCCAAATAGGTGAATTCGTGGTATTTGATTTGTGCCACTGAGGCATTTTGAGCCACTTTAGAAAAATAACTAATGTTTTATCCCTGTAAAATCTGTACATAGTCCAGGATTAGCACCAATTGATTTTTTCAGCTGCAGTCGTAAAACATAAGTATATTAAGTTGATAACATTCCTCTTGAGTCTATCGTGTTGTGGCCATCTTTAAAAGTCTTCATGTTGCATCATAATCACACTGTACTTATCAGTTGAGCAAGCACTCCAATCTGGCTTTTATGATCAGAATAACGATTGTTGGTAAAATCACACAGCATAACTTAACTATATAGCCTTTTCCATGTTTTTCTTGATAGGATATGTATTTTCATAGTTAGATTAATTAGTTATATTATTTTTACATATTCCTACAATAATCATTACCTTCAAGATTTCCTCGAAATTGTATTTCGCAATAATTTTGTGTGCCTAGGAATATGCGATTGATCCTCCAGTTATGCTTGCACCTTGGCAGCGTCGATATCAATTCATATGTGAATCAGGTTTAATCACAGATTGTCGTGCTCAGCTTCAAGAAAATCAAGATCTGTCTAAGTGGTCAGAAGAAGAAAAGCAAATATTTAAAGAACGCTATTTAGCCACTCCTAAAAATTTTACTTCGATAGCTTCATACTTAGAGCGTAAATCTGTTGCAGACTGTATCCACTATTATTATTTATCCAAAAAGAAAGAAGGTTATAAACAGCTGTTGAAGAAGCATAATGCTCGTCGACGGCGAGCAGCTCAGACTGAACGTGGAGGGGGCGGTGGTGCTGGTGGAGCTGCTAGCAATTCAAATGCTGGCGGGAGTAGCGGCAGCCATAGTAATAGTGGCAACAATTCTAATATGAACTCGATCCCTCCATCTTCTGGTAATTGTCAAAATGGGCATACGAATATAAATTCCCCTCGTGGAGAGCGTAATGAAGCAGATGAAAAAGATCCAGGAGGATTAAAAAATTCACAAGGTGATTCTTCTGGGTTTCCTGAATCTTATGAAACAGCTGAGCATAAGGTAAAATTATTCACATCATATTTTTCACTTTGCCTTTCATTTTAAGTAACTGTTAAACGAACGTTAATACTTTATTAATGTCTACATTCAATTTGGCTTCAAAAATCGACTTCTGAATTTAAGATGTCGAATTTAAACTTCATTTGCACTACATCGATATAGATAACTACGGAGTATCAATAAGCAGTGTATAGTTACTTTTGTTAAACGAATGTTATATTTTGAACATCTGAAAATGTTTCACTATTTTTGGTCTCGGTTCCTAAATCTGGGATATTTGGATATTTTTTTAACCCTGTAAGCCATATCGTAAATTGATATGAACCACTAGGTGATATTTATTTATTTTATTATTTATTTGAACACATAAATATTGGTACACGGGGGGCACCAAATATATATGCGCCACACAAAACAATGATAATTTGAAGAGAAGGAGAAAAAATATAAAAAAAGTAATGAACATGGGGAATTATAAAAAAAAGAGGGAGAGAACAATGGTGGGGAAAACGAAAAGGTACAATCAGGAGAAATCTTACAGTTAAGGAAGATACAATGACTTTTTATGAAGAAAGTAAAAGAAGGTTACAGCAGGATCGCCACTGGCTTCTATTCTGAGCCATATCTGATAACGTCTCTAGCCACTGCGTTACACCGTCTCTCGGACCCCATCCAGGGAGTCGTGAAGGACCAACAGAAGCTAGCCCTTTGCAGCTTTCTTTCATACCACGACACCATGTCATATACTGGCCACCTCTCCGCTTTTTCCAACCAGTCCCAGAGTCGGCAAATAATGCACGACGAGGAATTCTCTGGGACGACATTCGTAGAACATGTCCAAGCCACCGAAGTCGGTGTTTCAAGATGGTGACACCAATTTCATTATCGTCTCTGTGACCGAACACGCGATGCCGGACCTCTGCATTACTGACATGATGTTGCCACTGGATGCCAGCAATCCTTCGGAGACAACGATGATCGAACACAGAGAGTCGTCTAACATCCTCAACTCGGAGAGGCCAGGTTTCACAAGCATAGTCAGACAGTCAGTCAGCTGCAACGTAGGACCAGGCACGTGTATGCATCGGTCCAAGTTGCCATACCGCATTAGCACAACAAGATGAACACCGGATTCATAGAAGTAGTTAATTCAGTGGTGGTAATATATAGAAGAAAGAGTGTGTATAAGGAGATAGTAAAGGAAGATAGAATTAGTTCCTAGACAGATATGAAGCGATTTTAATTTCTTATTTTAAAGGAAGACAGAGAGTGAATACACCGACGCCATTGTGATCGATTCTGAGCCATGTCACCAAGAGTCTCCAACCATTGGTTACGATAGTCACGCGGACCCCAACCAGGTAGTCTGCATCTACCAATATGGTTCAGACCAGAAGTTAGTGACTTCAAGCACTGATGCTACGTTTTGGTTTGGCCGCCCCTAACTTTCTTCCAATTATCCCCTGCACTAGTCAGCATTGCGCGTCGTGGTAATCGGTGTTCAGGCATACGCAACACGTGGCCCAACCATCTCAGTCGATGAAGGTTCATAACCTCATCAACTGATTTACCATCATTCCCTAATACCCTGCGTCTAACCTCACTATTACTTACCCGGTGATCCCAGCAGATACCCGCAATATTTCTAAGGCACCTGTGGTCAAATACTAGTAACTTACCAATATCTTCTACTCTTAAAGGCCATGTTTCGCAGCCGTATAGTAGAACGGAACGAACTGCCGCACAGTATACTCGTCCCTTAATTGATAGACGGATATCTCGCCTTCGCCATAGATGACGTAAGTTGGCAAAGGCCAAACGAGGTTTTCGAATCCGTGCTGAGGTTTCGTCAGACACCAACCCATTAGGGCTGATCAGACTTCCAAGATAAGTGAAGTTGTCAACGCGTTCGACTACTTCACCCCCTATCCTTAGTTCAGGTGTTGACGCAGACCAGTCCTGAAGCAACAACTTGCATTTAGAGGGAGAGAAGCACATCCCAAACATTCTGGCATTGTTGTTCAGTGCTACCAAAAGACTGCATTTCATCAGCATCTTCATCAAACAGGACTATATCATCTGCGTATTCTAAGTCAATAAGTGGACCTCCCGGTAGGAGATCAATACCCGAGAAGTCAGTCGATGAGAGCGTTATTTCCATCAGGATGTCTATGATAAAGTTAAACAAAAAAGGAGAAAGTGGACAGCCTTGACGGACGCCAGTTGAGGTTGCGAAAGCAGATGACAGTTCGCCATAGGCTCTGACCCGACTAGTAGTGTTCGAGTAAAGAGCCTTCACGAGGTTTATGTACTTCTGAGGTACGCCTTTCAATGACAGACATTGCCACAGAACCTCTCGGTCAACAGAGTCAAACGCTGCTTTTAAGTCAAGGAAGACCACTATTGTCGGACGCCGATAAGTATGCCTGTGTTCTAGAACCTGACGAATGGTGAATATGTGGTCGATGAAGCCACGACCAGGTCTGAAGCCAGCCTGATTTTCACGTGTTTGCAGTTCACGAGTCTTAGTTAGGCGTCCGAAAATTATCGAAGCTAGTATTTTAGATACTATATTAGTCAAACTAATCCCTCTATGGTTGTCACAGGATGATTTTGACCCTATCTTAAATATTGGGACGATAAGTGATTGTGACCAGTTAGATGGGATAACGTCTAACTCCCAGATTTTAGCTAAAATATTAGTCAACCTAATCGCTAAAACTAGACCACCATCCTTAAAGACCTCTGGAACCAATCCATCTGGACCAGCTGCCCTTCCTCGTTTCAGATTAGCTATAGCCTTTTGAACTTCAGCTAGAGTTGGGGGACCTACTTCAATGTTCCATTCACACTGTCTGGGAATGTTGGGTAGTTGTAGAGTAGCTGAAGGCCAACTGAACTGCTCCTTAAAATGTTCCGCCCATCGTTCTAAACGTCTGGACTGGGAGCAGATGAGAGTGTCGTCTCTATCCTTCCTTAGACTTTTGCTTAATCTAGATTTGATTTCTTTACGCTCTTCATCGTATTCAAAACCTGATGGGATGAGTTTACGAGAATCTATCAGTGCAATAGACCTTGAAGAAATCCATTGGTTCTTTGTAACCATTTGGTTTAAATCACTAGTAGATGTCACTGCTGTTTCCACAGCTGCTTGTATAACTTTCCAAGCAACATCTGGGTCAGTCTCGTATTAGGGCATGGTCGGAGTCCAAGCAGGTACTCCAGAATGAGCGACAATCTTCTATTGACCCTCTCCAACGATGACTGATGGCAATATGGTTTATTTGAGTCCATCGTTGGTTTGGTGCAGGGGGTCGCCATGTTAGACGATGTCTCTCCTTATGCTTAAAATTTGTGTTTGCTAAAAATAAACGGTTGTCTGAGCAAAGTTGCAGCAGACGATCACCATTATTTGTTCGCTGTGCCGGAATACTAAAATACCCACCTAAATGTCTTTCTGTTTTGTTTAAGCTACCTACCTGGGCATTAAAGTCACCTCCTACGAGTACTATGTCTGAACGTTTAGCTTTTTGAAGAAGTTCAGAGAGTTTTCTGTAAAATTCGTCTCTCGCTTCATCCGAACTGCAGTCAGTGGGAGCGTATGCAGGAACGAAATAAAGGCAACGACGTGTGTCCCTATCTTTCCGGGTTCTTACGGAGCCGTTTAGCCGAGCAGCGCATAGACGACTGTTAACGGGAATCCACTCTAATAGCGCTTGTTCCGCCCTCATGCTTAGTGCTATGCTTACACCTGCCAGTCCGCGATAAATAGCCGTTGTGTTGCCAGATGCACGGAGGGTGTATCTCGTCGGCTCTCCGTTTTGCCGAGGTGAGATCAAGTGAATAACCACACTAGGATCCTGTATGCGTGTTTTGGAGATACAACATACGTCAATGATACGAGATTCTAGGGTTTTAGAAATGGAGGTCCGCTGGCCGATTTGACGTAGGGTGCGTACGTTGAAGGCTCCAATGTGTAGTTTGGAGCGGGGTTTCAGTAGACCTGGGACAGCGTTTTGATCACTAGAATCGTTGGCTATGGTGATACTTGAGGAGGAAACCAAAGTTGGAAGTTTAGATTTGAAAGTCGATGTAGGAGGAATAAAAGGAATTGAAGAGGTAGGTTGATTATGAATACAGTGGTCTTGAGTGCTGTTAGAGGTATGAGGGCGGTTATCACTTCTCGGTTGCCCACACCGTGGAAGGGTTCTGCTGGAGGTACCTGAAAAGGAAATTGGATTAGAGGTGGTCATAGTGACCTGAGAGCGTGACCGCAGTGCCCAAGAAACAGCTGCTTGAGGTCGGTCACACCTTTTATGACCTTTTTATGAGTAATTTTTGTGTTAGCTCCGTACTTGTTGAGACCTTACCGCCGGAGACGGATATCCGTGGGATAAGGCGAGGTGTGCATTTTTAGGGTCAACCTTTTCTAACCCCTCCCCTCCTTTTGGGAAGGCAGCATCGCTGTTATGCTGGTTGTCTGAAGGAAACACCTTACTGCTGTCACACCTCTGTACAGTCATCAGTATGACTTCGCCTTCGGACCTTGGTTTTGTTGCTTTTAGTCTTACCGCTCTTCAACCGACCTGTCTTGGATGGTAGGACCTTGAGGAACGGTTGTTCCAGCCAGTATAGCTCAGTTGCTTCATCACGATAGGCAAGCCCGACCACCACGTCAAGGTAGCAACAACGGTCAGGTTTGAATCATTGTATTAACCGGGATTTCTCGAAATAGTGCAATTTAAACCAAATGGAACTAGGCGAGCACAAATGAACGTACGGAGTTAATCAAGAATCAAGTACAAAGCAATCACTAGTTCATACAAACATGACACTTCCCTTTATTTTGTCGAGTAACTAGGGTAGGACTCTAATTTATGGACGAGCCAATCAGAGGCGTTTGAGAAAGTTCAAGGTCACGGCGCTAAGTTCGATTCGAGATGCTCACATTCGATCGTTTTACAGCAGATTTCAGAGAAGAGGTGATTGTTGAGCGACTA